ACTCACTGCAAGACTGTGACATCACAATTGTTTTAGTCATACAGCTACAGTTTGATGTTTTGTTGATTCAACTCAAAATGAGACTACTTGCTTTTTTAATTATGCATTTGTCTCACATACTAAAGAAGAAACAGAAGTGAAAAGTGCAGGGAAAAACTGCAGTGTGCAGCCATAAGAGACTAATGGTACAAGCTGGGAGTCAAACTCTCCACATTTAAGAAATCATTGCCTGGTAGAAGATATCTTTCCAACACTACAATGGTTTTGTTTCAGATATTAAAAGCAACAATATCAAAGAAAGATAAAATGGTACTAGAATTCATTTGGAAACATTCCCTTCAACCCTTCCTGCAAGCTCAAATACATGGCACAACTGACATGTTAATAAATTCTGATAAAATTACCTAGTCAAATGCATTAAGGAACTGAAACTTTTCAAAGAACTGATGTATGTCTGAACTTATAACATCATGTTTTTACAGTGAGAATTACTGGAGTTATAAATTAATATTTTGAAGTAACACCAGATACATCCCAAGTTTGCCACATTTATAAGAATGCTAGCACGCAAAATAATTATTCAAAGGAACTACACTGATTTTAATGTCACATTTGTCATGTCAAAGCAACCTTCAAGTTCAAAAAGACTGTCTTCTACAGAAAAGGAAAAAGGGCCTAGCTACTGAGACTTCAAATAATTACAGTATTATTTATTTAATGGTTAGAGGCTTAATATATTTTATTTCAGTGAGGTAATGACTGTAAGGTGGTATCACTACTATTCTCATATTCATGTAAAAACTGAAAGGCATATTATCTCAAGGCATGAATAACTTAATGTTACTGACTGATTTGGGCTTACTAATCATGATCAAGTAAGAGAAAATTAAAATTAGGTTTGCTTTATAGGTCAGCACCTTCAATGACTGTAATAGAAAATTTATGTGCTTCTATAAAGACCTAAAATTTCATGCTACTAGAAATTACCCAAGTTACAAACACAAGGTTTTTTGTTCAGTATGCTTCAAAAATTTTATCATGAGAGACAACAATTCACAATGTATCTGTAAAATTCTTACAGGAGAAGTCCTTAATGACAGCTTTTTCATCAACAACTAATACAAAACAGGTAGCCCCAAGGCCTACATCTAAAACTGCATGATCATAGTCATCATTTTCAAAATAGTCAAAAATTCAATTAAAAATATGAGACAAATGAAACACAAAGAACTAGTACATGAAAGTATAAATGTGACGCTGTATGTAATATTTAGCAATACAATTATTTAGGTACTCTCCTATTTATTTCAACATAAAATGCATTTGGAAGAAAAATGGCAAAAGAGTCTTTTTTCTCAGAATACCACAGAAATCTTAGATTCTCAATTGTCAGAAACACAGAAAAATACCTAAGAAAATCTATCAATCTTAGACAACTCAGAATTTTCCAATAATGAAACATTTGCAAAAAAAAAAGTAAAGCATGAGCTTTCTGAGGAATTACTTCCCAGAAATATGAAAATACATAAATATGAAATAAACAGGCATAAACCTCATAACCTGAAAATTCTCTCTCTCTCTTCAAAAGGTCACCATCAAAGATTATTTATGTACATCTTTGTCCTCTCTAGATAAAAGCAGGTCTGATTCACAGGAATACTACACAGTAGCTTCCTACACCTACATTTCCTATACAAGTAACTTTAAAATCTTTAAGGGTGTGTCAAAAAGAGAGTTACTGATACAAGCTCAGGACCAATGCACAAACAGCATTCTGTACTTATATGTGATTAACAGCTATACGACATAGACCTATTAAGTTGGGTGTTAAGTATTTAATTAAGCAGAAAAACATCTCATTGGCATTCTTCACTCTTCTTGGCATATAAATGTGGCATAAATAACAGTATACGATCAAAGAATGAATATTGTACGTAAATTTATGAAAGAAAAGTATCATATATGCTCCAGTAGCATATAAATAGCAGTTAAGTCCAAAAAATTAATTAGATCTTGTAGCTCAATCCACACAAAAATTACATTTAATGCTAATATAGCTTTCTGCTTGGAAGCATGCACTACTTCAGCCTGTTTCTTTACCCATTAAAAAAACTCTGCATTTTTAAACATCTTGTAATTTTACACAGCATTTCATTAACACTATATAAACCAACATTTTGCTTGTATTTGTTATTTTAGTCATAGTTAGTGTATTGAGAAAAGGAAGACATCACTACAAAAAATAAACAGAAAGCATATGAGATGTTTGTTTCAGAATTGGTGTCTGGTCAATTACTCCAAACTACGCTTTTAAACTTATAGACGTTAAAAAAAAAAAAATCATTTTGACTTACTAAATTTTGACTTACAATTACTAAATTGTAGTGTAATTGTTCTTACAATAAGTCAATATGAGAATAGAATATGTTTACATGAAATAGAAAGTTCTGAAAATAAAGTTGCATATCAACGGCACTAATTAAAAAAAAATAGGATTAAACACACAATGCAATGCCAGAACACATTACATTTCATGGTAGTTCAGTAGGATAAATGTACAGCCCAACAGACTACACAAATTTTTTGCCAAACTTTTTGTTCTCTATTGTCCTTTGAACTTCAGAGAGCTACTTCCTCCCAGTCTTTCTTTCTACATTTCCAAACACCTGAACAAATTTCCTAAAATTACACATTCTTACAGTTAAAAATAAATAAATAAAATCAGAAGTATTCTTTTCTTTTTTGCTCACCTTCCAGTTTTGTTCCTCAAGATTTTCCATTGTTACATGCTACAAGACTCTTCAGTCTGTTTTCTGTCCTCTCAGTTTTCAGTTATTGTATTAAATAATTTTTTTCCCTTTCATAAAAATTGTAAGCTCTAAGAAATACAAAGTATCTTTTCCAGATGTAAGTTTCACTTGAACTCCCCTAAAAGCACAGGAAGCAAAGAAACACCCTTTACCATAGTATCTGGCACAGAGTCATATATCCAACTTCTGCTCTTTTGATCTGAATGGAAAAAGGGTTTTTTGGGTTTTTTAAATTATGAGGCAAGCAGCCTGATAGGTTAGGTCTAGATGAAGTAAAAGCCTTAACCCACAAATCCAGTTATTTATGTTTGCCCAACAACAACAACAATAAGTAACTATTTTAAGCAACATCTCTAGTCTAAAAGTAAAAGCAAGCACTAATACAACATACAGAAATCCAGTTATGTAGGAGAAGAGGCACAGGGAGCTGAAAAAAGTTAATGACCACACTTCTGGAAAGTAAAGTACATTCTTACAGGGATTCTGATTGTATTGTACATGATTCAAGAATGTGTATTTGCCATAATGAATACTAGATGACTTACAATGTAAAGTCAAAATGCTTGAGACTTCCCTGAAAATATCACAGCTGTACTATACAAAACAATTCTCAGTAAAAATACCTTTAACAGTCATAAATATAAATGCTGTAAAAGTTACGTTCCTGTGTTTTTAAATTTCTTTAATTCTATAACTTTAAATTTCTTCTTGCAATATCCTAGCTATAATTTCATTATCAGATTTTATCCTTTTTCTAAGTTACAAACCTCTACTAAATCCTTCAAACTCTCCTAGCTCTCCAGCTGTGGCAGTAGTTACATTACCACAGAAATACCTCTGTAGTGCAAAAAATTAGATGTCAATCCACAAATGCTAGTCAAGTGCTTTTGCTTAGATGTCAGAATCATACTAGATTTCACTCCTAAATAACCTTTTAAGCTTCAAAAAGGTTCAAAATTCAAGAGTTTAAATGAGTGGAGTCTAAATTACAAACATAATACAAATTCAGAATGTTGTTCAGACTACCACTTAACTCTCAATTCAAATAACAGAACTCAATTTTAAAATACAATCACATAAAAGCATCTTGTTTCATTGAATATATTCAAAATACGTCTCTATCACCATGCTAATACCCTCCACCATAAGAATTCTAGAGTCAAATGAGGAAAAACTTACTAAGAAATTCTTAACTGTGAGGTTGATGAGACACCAGAATAGGCTGCCCAGAGATACTGTGGATGCCCCAGCCCTGGCAATGTTCAAGGCCAGGCTGAATAAGGCCTTAAGCAACCTGGTCTAGTGGGAGATGTCCCTGCCCATGGCAAGGGAGTTGTAACTAGACAGTCTTAAGGTCCTTTCAAATCCCTTAACATCTATGATTCTATGAAAACACTGAGAGGAACAGCTAAAATGAAGAATATTATCTGTAGTCAGACCTAAGAGGTCCACTGAAAAGAAAATCTTTTTTCAGAATTCAGTTTTTAAAATTCCTGAGATAAAACACTACTGATAAACAAATGAACATACTGAAATATCAAAATCCAGTGAAACATCTTAAGTCTGTAACTTCCAAACGTTTAATTTTATATTTTTTCTTCAATATTGTAGAGCCCCCATAGTTGCCCCTGTTATTAGTAACTAAAGATTAATTTTTTATATTCTTATAACTGTTTTCTTCTATTCAGAAAACAAAGGGTGCCACATAAATGGCATATACTGCATTAAGAATAATAATTTGTCCTTTCTGTTAATGTAACTGGCCTTTACTATACTGACACTTCAGCAGCATCCCAAAAACAGACACAGGAACTGAAAAGAGGTGTTTAATCTAGTGTCAATCTAAATCTTTATTTAACAATCAGTGTTAAAATTTTCAACTGTTAGCCAGGTCAAAACGTTTAAACTGAAATATAGTCATCTAGAATTACAACTACTACTATTTTGTGTGATTATTTCTGTCTCTCATTCCAAGTCACTTGCTTGTCCATGTATTTCTACCTTTCACAGTTAGCAAATGTGAAATGTGAATATGAAATACTGACAGATTAGTGACATAAAACAAATCTGTTACTCAATTTTATTCACTACCTTTTAACAGTATACTGACAAAATATTTCCTAACTTTTCTAAATAATATGTATATTGGTACAGCTACGGGTTTCTATGAAGATTCCGTACGGGTCAATTTATAAAAGAAGTTGAGATTTAAAAGCAATTGAAAGTGGTTACTAAACACTCTTTTTTATTAACAACTAATTCAATGTTTATTTGTTTTCCCCAATGTTCCAAACTACTAGACGTCAAAGTCATTAATTTTAAGTACCTTGTCAGTGTTTTGGTACCTCAATTTTCAAAATTACTTTAATCTTGCAAAGAGGTTCACCACTCTGAGAAACAAAATCTCCCTAAATTCAACACTAGTTTACTGTGAAAAGAAAACCATGACAACTGTTTGTACTCTTGCTTTATTATTACATCCGGCCTGGTCACTATTGGAAATTCAATCTATTATTGTTGCTAGGAGTCTGTTGCTAGGCAACCTAAAAGGGCTATGCAGCACTTTCAGGCTGAGAAGCCTTGAAAACACCACAGGCCTTTTCCTATGTCTCTAACCAGTTTATTTAAATAGATTAACACTCTCCTTAGTCAACCCAAATTCCAGGCATACCCTTAAAAAAAGTTACAATGATAGATTTGAATACTGTATACAAACACAAACCCCAAAAAATTACACAGAAGCAATATATCCAACTTACACTGCATGGTATAACAAAGCAGACAGCAGTATTTCCTCTAATCCTTCATTTAAATTAGCAAAGTTAAAATCTGTTAACGCCAAACTTCTTCAAAGTTTAACCTTCACATACTAATCAGCTAGTATAATTGAGTTGCTAAACACGCTCTGCAAAGATATTTTATAATAGACCTCTGTCAGAACAATACATTTTCATGCAATTTTCATACTCTAGATCATAAAAGTGGGAAAAATGAACTTAATTAAATCTAAAATGGCAGAATATTTATTATTTATAATTTGTATCAAAAGATGTCCAACAAACCTCTAAGCCGATTTAAAGTGAGCTCTGTTTTTGTGTGTCTTTGTTTACCTTTACACATTCTACATATTAGATACCTATGTAAATCTCTGCAGATTAATTTCTTTCAGCAATATTTTTGTAAATCTGCTTCAGAATGTCTAAGACATGACATGCAAATGAGCTGATAATTATGGCTTTTCTTTCTAATACTTTGAGGCAGTTCCCGTCTGCAGCGAGGAACAAGTTGTTCTATGGCACCAGAATTGAGAAAACAGTATTTCCTCCAGCTTGGTCCTTTAAATGGATCCATACAACACTGTAGGATGGATTGTGAGTATTTGCTGCCTGACTATCCAGAATGTTGGGTGTGAAAAATAAGTTGAAAATGCCTCTTCTTCAATGGTGGCACCTATTGTTGCTTACCTTTTCAAGCTAATTATTTTGTTAGTATGTTTTTCTGAAACTTATAATCTTCTTTTGAATAAGACAGACAGGCATAACAGAAAAAAAACCCAAAACTTATTTTCTTCAGAGTACAAATTTAAGAAATTAATGCATTGTCCCAAAAATTAGTGGAAATACTAAGAATAGTTATCTAGACAACAGATGTAAGAGATAATGACACAAAATGGATTCCAGTACTCATAGAAGGAAATGCTAGCATTTATCCTTTCCAAAATGCTTTATACTACTTAGTGGCTGTTGTGTTTTAGGGGAACCATGAAAACAATAACCAGTATGAAATGTATTCTGAAGACAAAATTCTCAGATGCTTGGGGATAAAACAGCAAGTATCAGCAGAATGCATTCATGAATTCAAACTTTTCCAACTACAACTTCATTGCTTTTCCAGAATTTTTAATTTTGTAAAATCTTTTTCAAAAGGAAAACTGAACTTTACACCTGTGTCAGGGTAACACTCAAACAACAGAAAAACTTGCCTTACCCCCTGTACTTAAGGTATTTAGCCTGGAACAATCGACAGCCACCAATCTAGTAGAATGTGCAACCAAATGCCAGAATGAAACACATTCTATCGACTTCTGCAGCCAAATCCATACATCTGAAGAACTGCTGTGTATAGCCAGCATTTACTTCAATTTACTTAAATGGTGGTATAATGTGGTATAATAATATATAATGGTGGTATAACCACCATTTACTTTAATCAGTTTACTTTTTATGATTTTATAAAAAATGAATCTCTGTAATATGTTACTGTAGACATCATGACCTCAAAGATGACAGGCTGCTTGGACAACACCAACAACTAGATACAGCTAGAGGTGTAATAGAAGCATGTCATGCTGTAAAACTACCTGCAGGTTTAGAATTAAAAAGTAGGTACTGATTATCTGAATTAAGTTCTGCAGTCAACATTTTGTTAGAGCTTGTTACATACTTCTGTGTTGCCCAAGAATTTATTAAAGACAATGAAGACTTTGACAAAGACAACAGATGCAAAGGTACGTTCATCCACCAGTTTTCCTTAAATGTTCTTCTGTAAGTATATTTACTTACATTATATTGTTACTGAATCAAATGAAATTTGTACACATCAATGGTTTATTTACACAAAACAGAATAGGGCCTTGATGCATTCAGTCTGGTGAGACACACTGGTTCTCTTCACTGACAGTTTAGTAAAAGAAATTTGACCAGAATCTCACTATCATTAGCTTAAGGATGAGCCAAAGATTTCTTCATCCTTTATTACAGAAGGTAACTTGCTTGTAAACTGGCCATTCAAATAAGCTGTACAAGCTGAATATTCCCCTGGCTCTAGGAGACAATTCCACATTAATAAGATGACTTACGGAGATAATGTTTCTCCCATAAATCTAGAACCCTATTCTTAGGATATAATTCACTACCACCAGAATTAGACCAGACCAAATGCATGTACTCTCCTGACTTCCCTGAAACGCCAACAAATATACACCCACCACCAAAACCCCCAAATAACTAAAGATCTTAGTTTAAGATACTCTTCCAGCATTCCACTCCTCAATAAGTGGGGTTATTTTCTGCAGGGTCTGGAGATTTACCTGTTCTCATGTATCTGCTAAAACAAACAGATTCTGAATTTCTCAGTTCAAGTTACTTCAAATTACATCAAACTGACTAAAATGCCATTCTTCCAAATATATTTTTATTTACAAATTTTGTATACATTGACATGAAGCAGGCTAAAGCACCCCAAAAGAGAGCTAGAGATTAGGAAACATGAAAGCAAAGTGGCTGCAAATAAAAAATCAGGCAGTCCCTGAAAGCCAATCTTGGCACCTGTAGGCTATTCCTACAACCAGAGAGATTTATGTCAGCACTGTGTGATGCTTACCAGACTAGTTACACCCCACTATCTCAGGTAAACTGGAAGAAATAATTGTAATTGCAAAATGTAAGTAAGCAGATATCACTGTCACCAATGATGATATAATAAAGCAGCAAAAGGAGAACTACATTATAAACTGCAAAGGAAGGAAAAAATGCTGACATAAAACAATTCAAGACTTGCATATACTTTAATTTGAAAGAAGAAAAGAGAGAAAGGAACATTTACAAACTTAGAAATTTAGAAATCAATTTACAGAAAGCTGTCTCATTATAAAATACCGCTTTATGTCCTAAAGATAACCTTTACCTTCCCCTACCATCTGGAGTTTAAGTATCTCTTTAGAAATCTACTACTTAGCTTTATAACCATGTATTTGAAGAACTGCACCCGTAACAAGGCAACTAATATTTCACTATGCTTAGCATGGTCTTTCTTTCTTTATTTAAGAAATTTATACTCAATTTAAGAGCAAATTCAGCAGCAACAATTCTACAGGAAATATGCAAGAAATGCATTATGTTGAAAGCAATGACAGAAGAACTTCTGACTCTAAAAGTATTATTTTTCCAAACATGCTTGAAATTTACTCTCATACCTGACAACATTATTTAAGACATTAATTATAATTTTGTTTACCTTCCTATGTGACCTTTCCCTATATCTTAGCTTTCACAAACACATATTTATTCACAAGACACTGTTACTACCAGTGTTGATTTTGATGCCACATGAAATGAAATATATTTTAACATTTAAAAAACATACAAATTCATACATAAAAAAATAAACCAAAAAATTCTGTAAGCCAAACATACAAAACAACTTCCCACATGGCTTTTTGTTGACTTCACTGTAAAAGACACTCAGTTCCAAACAGCACATTCTGTTCTGTTTTTCTAACCTAAAAGTACTGAGCACCTGAAAAGACAGTGATTTGAACAAGTCACAGCTTGTATTTCCTGGATAGATACCAATATTTTATTTTTATTCCATGTGTGACTTAGAACAAACCACTTCAACTTATATTTTCAGCTTATTTAAGGCGTTCATTTATAAACAATATCCTAAAATTTTTAAATCCTCTTTACTCACCACTACCTTTCTCTCAAAGAATCAGTTCTCTAAGTTCTTAGCTAAGATTGACTGTAGAAAACACTTGAAAACATGAAATTGTAAAATGAAAACATGCATATGGATTCTTACTAGCTAGGCTTATCTAGCATAGCTTTTTTGCCCTCAAAGAAAAAACACTGAGTTTAAAAAAATGAAGTACAATATAAAACTCAAGTAAAGTAAAGTACAATGAAAAGCATACCAGTGCAGAGAAATGCAAGTAAAAAATACTAAAAACGTAAAAATTTCAGGGAAATTAATCAATTATAAAAAAAGAACAAAGAATGTCATTAATCAAGCTGGTATTGTACAACAGTGAATACTTAATTAATCTCTATGTTTACAGTAATTGTACTTATAATACAAATTGAGTATTGAGAATTGCATAATTGGATCCAAGGCATATTTGTGTATTTGTTTTCTGGCTTTTAATGTTAAAAAGCATTCCTAACAAAAATTTTCATATAACCTGACAAAAAGCTTAATGCCCAGGAAGTTTAAGTAATATTACCTTCAAAACATTGTTTGACAAAATGTAATGGTAGCTGATTTTCATAATTATTTGGGTTTGGTTTGTTGTGTTTTGTTCTGTTTTTTTTTTTTTTTAATTAGGCTCCAGCCTACTGCAGGACTTAACACGAACATTCTAAACTATATGTACCTTAGAATAGACGCACTCGAAAAAGGTACTGATTATGCCATGCTATTAGATCATTTTGAGCACTTTGAGTTTCACTGTGCATTCATATACCTTGTTCAATCAGAAGAATGATTTTCCCTTGGAAAAAATTCACTGGAAACACTTTCTGGAAATCCTACATCCCTCTTTAACTTAAATTCTCAAATTTGACAGAGGTAATTTTAACAAATTATAAATAAAATAAAAACATGTCCTAAATAATGCATTTGCTTACCCAGGCTTTAATCATTCAATTCAACTCAGCTTATTTATTTAAATAAAGGGATTACTTTTTAATATTGTCATGATTATCAAGACTACCTTTATCATAATTAGTAATGTATATATAGGTTTTTGCTTATCCCTCAAGCAGTGATAAAAAAGAGTAAGGGAAGTCAAAGTATATTAAATTTCCTATGAATCTGAATGTCCCATCATGATAAACTCCAACCAAAACAAACAAAAAACTCCCAAAGAGAACCATTTCAATCAACTGAAGTATCGATTATTAATCTATTTTTATGATTTCACCAATAATAGTTACTGGACTACACACTTCATTAGATCCTTACTCTTGATCTCTACCATTGCTATTAATTTTATATATGCAGATATATGATAAAGCAAACATTTTTTTTAAAACAAACATTTCTTTACCTACATTTAAAAATCATTGTCCTTGCTTCTGAAATCCTTTTTTCTGGACACAAAAAAAAGTCTAGTTCTTATCAAAATAAATACAGATATAGGCAAGTTACAGGAAAATATTTTAGATATCCTCATTACAAAAAAGACCCCTTCTTCAGATTGCTGTTATGTACACTGAACACCGTTTACAAATCACCACTCAAGTTAGCCAAATATAGAATGTTTCACCAACACCCCTGAACTTGTTTCAACAAAGAAAGGAAATGATCCAGTTTATTTTAAAATTCTAAAAATAACTGAAATTGGAAATTAAAAATAATTTCCAATAAAAATGTTGTTTGTAGTTCTTCCTTTTGTTTCTTCTCTTTTGCTACAACAAAAGAATTTAAAACTGCATTTAAGACTTTGACACACAAATGTCCACAGAAATCAGCAACTGGGGTTTGGTTTTACCAGGTATTCAACCAAAGTGCCTCCTTATTTTATAAAACCCTTTGTTGATCAATGTTTTTTCCTGAAGAGACCTAAAAATATTTGCTTTCTTGCTCGTGCAATTTTCTCCACCGCTTTTATTTTTTTTGCCTCTGCAGGACTCCAGTGCAAAGTTTCAAGGTTTCATTCTAAAATATTGTAAAAAAATATGAGGAATCCAGTCTATGTCCAGATCCAAGTTTGCAAAATGCATAGAATGAAGCGTTCGACCAAAATTACAGAAATGTAACACATTGAAGAAAAAATTAACCCAAGAGTTGGGTTGTTAGAGAGATCATCTCCTAGGAACCCAATCCAGCTCTTTGTGATACATATCAAGAGGACAACTGTGAGTCTAGCTCTATCCTTCCACTTTTACCTCCACATATGAGGATGCAAATGCAGTCCTTGCAAACTGAACTGGTCAACAAGACTAGAAGGCAAGCTAGATCACATCTAGGATCTTCTGCTGTAGATCAAGAATCACAAGTAAAATCATAGTATAACTTGGGCTGCCATGGATTTCGGGAGCTGTCATGCCCAACTTCCGTCCCAAAGCAGGTTCAGACTTGGCATTAGACTAGCTCCCCAGGGCTTTATCCAGTCAGAGCTTGAAAATCTGCAAAGATGGAGATGGCAAAACCTCACCTGGTCTGCACTGTTGGGCTGTCCTCATGTGGTAAAAGGTTCTCCTTGTCCCCAGTCCAAACCTCTCTTGTTTCAATTTATGAAATTGTCTCTCATCCTTTCACCACGCCCTTCCACAGGAAGTGCATTTCCAGGGAAGGCTGCTGTTGGGACCCTTGTAACTCCCTCTTCTCAAGACTGAACAAGTCCATATCCTTCAGCACCTACTCACAGGCACATGCACTCTAGTTTCTGACCATCTTAGTGGTCCTTTCCTGAACTTGCTCCAACCAACATCTTTTCCACAACTGCAGAAGAGTAAGGGTAAAAGCAGAAATGCATGTGCATGTTGTATAATAAATACAGAAACTAGATGGTGTCCTGGTTTAGGGTAAATTTGCAAGAAAACTTCCAAAGGGGGTCCCTCTAGAAAGCAGATTCAAGTGGTGCCTCCCTCAACTGGTTTGGGAGAATATTTCCTTGGAGAAAACTGGAAAAAACTTGTTTATTTAACAAACTATTTACAAGCATAAAAAAATGAATAATATTCAGTATTGTTTGAATAATATCAAACAATAAAACGTCTTGCTGTTCTTAAGAGATGGCAAATTCAATAAAGTCCTGGTCGTGGAGTGTAGCTCAGCTCGCTCAGTCTCTTATCAGTCCCTCTGGTGCTGGAAAATGCCACGTCTCAGGCCCCAGCGGGTGTGAGCTCCTGGTGTTCTAGGGTTTCAGTCCAGAGCAGGGCCAATCAGTTCCAAAAAAAGAAAAGCTACCATCCAGGGAACTTCTCTGCCTCAGCTAGCTAAAACCACTAACTAAAAGCAAAAGAGAGCTCTCTCCCGCTCTCTCTGATGCAGACAGCACAGTCCATGAGAAAGAATGCAGGAGAGCAAGTGCTGTTTCTGAAAACAAAATGCGCACTTCTTCGTTCCTCATTTTGCTCTCAGAACCAGTCTTAAAAGGTGCAAAACTTAATATCTAGCATAAACAGAACAGACAAGCAATATAAAGTCACCCTAGGACAGGTAGATAAACATTTATTTCAAATTCCTGCCTATAGCTGTGCTCATACAACCCAGGAGACATTTTTGATCTTTCTACAGCCAAGGCACACTGCACATGTTCAACTACCTGACAACCATAGGCCACAGGGCCTCATCCAGCCTGTAGTCCCAGCTACTCTGTCCCCAGCCTGCAGTCTGCAGCTACAGGTCTGTGAAGCCCTAGAGAGCTTCACAGGATTGGCATTCCAATTATTGTAATAATTTAAATAAAACTGTATTATTTTGTATAATCGTAATAAATATTTGTAAATAATTGTAATATATAAAAAATATAAATATATATATATATATATATAAAATAATTGTAATAATAATCCAAGATTATTGTAGAAGTAGGTTAAAAGAGTATTTTTTTTTAGGGACTGCTTTTGTTCCAGATTTCACTAAGACAACTGTGTTTGGAATAGGTAATCTGTATTTTTGCT